ATTCCTGCAATAGTTATGCATTTTGAAAACTAAAGGGCTGTTTTTTCTGCATTTTTCAGCATAAGCATGAAAGAAAGATTAAAATGTACCTACCAGACATGCCACTAAAACAGAATCACTGTTATTTCTTTCGGTTGGTGATCTGCAAAGTTTAATTAGGCGAGGTATACCTGAGTGCACAAAAGAGTATCAGGAGAAATGATTTAGAAAAACAAACTGCTTATTTTGAGATGAGGTCTTTTTTTAGATGTTTCATATTTATCCTCCTTAGCAGGTATGATTTCTAATGCAAAGATGATACGCAAATACTTAAGGGACTGTCCGTGGAGCTATGCAGTTCAGAGCAGTCATAATTAATAGTTGTAAAGCATAAACAAACAAATGGCGTTTTTTTACCCGCTATTGCTATTTCAGAGTGGAAATTGTGACCTCCATTTCTTCGCTATCAATCCTCCCACATGCCCTTAAAAAACTCCAGCCAAAAGAATGTGTTGCTTCCCATTAGATTCATCACATCTGAGTCTGCAGTGGTCCAAGTTTTCTGTCCACTGAGAGATCCTGCGCAAGGGTTTCAATAAAGGAATGGAGGAGGCAGCACTGTCAGTTGGCACAGTCTGCCACAGCTATGTGTTGAGTGGATGCTGCACCTCAGGTTCCTCTGGGAAATGAGCCAGAGGTTCAGTTTGCACAGCATCCTCAGTCACTCTCTGGAAAGATGGTATAGGGAACCTATTCCATAAAGTGTACCCAGTGAGGCTAAAAATTAAAAAGAGCTTCTCCATAACTGGCAGTTCCTCCCTCTTTTTCAGTCTGCCATTAAGCTAGTGATACATCCTTACAGCTGAGTTTTACGGCTGCATCTGCCACTTCAGGATCTCGGCTGAGTCGTGCCAGCGTAACTGCAGATTTCTGTTGGACTCGCTCACAAGCAGCAATTTCTGCTGAATTTCCTGAAGATGATCTTTCAAAGAGCATTTCCATTAAAAGTTGAACACCTAGAAGGATGTAAGAGCCATTGTTATCCTTTCTCCAACAAAAAATTCAGTCCACAACAGTAAAGGGAAAAAGCAAGCTAGGTAAATACAGACCAATCACTGCCCAAATAGGGCATGAAGAATGCATAAACGTAGACTGCAATTTGGCTATCTGCATTCAGGCACATCGGATCTGCACATAAGTTTGCCTTCACTAGGAAGCTACAGAACTTCTGGGACTAGAAAATGCACTAACTCTTCCCTCCTTCAACTCCTTGACTCTACAAGTTGGTATTTTAGATTCCACAAATTTATTTCAGTCAAAGTAAATGCAGGTCTCTATTTACTTCTAAACTAACCTGAAGGTAATCACAAACCTAAAAACCTGTAGTGACATATTTTAGGTCTCTACATGAAATTTTGCTTTGAATTAAAGGAAAGTAAAACTTTTTTTTTTCAGTTTGTGTATTTTTAAGAAAGTCTTTAAAAGTTCCCATCTCAAACTGTTTAAGGGTATTTTAGAATGGGGCATCCTTTAATGAGGGAGATGGTGAAATTCTGCCTCTTGAAGTTTACTGTGTGACTAGCTCTTCACTTCAGAAGAGACAGTCATACATGTCAAAATGGTTTCATTAACTTATTGTTGCCTGTAGGAATTGATATTCTTATTGTAGTAGGAAAAAAACAAATGAGACTGTACTGATTTCTGTTTTCTAGATTATTTTAAATGTAAGGACAATTATGTACTATTAGACTCCATATGCTATTAGGCATTCAGATTACTTCAGGTAGCATCAGAGGATTTTAACAGAACATTTGCATAAATAATTAAGAGAATTAGCATCAGAATCATGCAGCTAGATAATAATCAATCAACATACAAAAAAGTCAAAGTTGAGAAGAAAACCTATCTAAACTCTCCAGCATTCAAAGACCCTTCTCAGTTTGTGAATCTGGCTTCTGACCAGCATGTGATTATTACATCAGGCAGACACAAGAAGCCTTTATACACAAGATGAGTGTCATCCCTTCTCAAAAGCCTGGGGGCAAATGCTTCTGTGTGAACTTCCGTTACAGAGTGTGTACACAAATTTTACTTCATCACATCGTGCTTGACAATCCACATGTGCATCTCCACCTACTGTAGTATCTAGCATGAGTTAGGCCTAGTTGGCATAGCTGTTAGTATAATTTCACGAACTTAATCAAGTTTCTGCAGTAGTAGAAGTAGATGAAATATGATCAAACACCTGTCTCAAACAACAAAATAGGTTTTAGTGTGCTCAAGGAAATAGGCGGCCAAACTACATAGTCAATCTGTTAATCATAAAGGAGTGTAAAAGCTTCCAGCTTCCAGGGCATATCTGGATTGTAAGCAAACAATCTGGATTGTGAGCAAACAACAGCAAATCAGAAAACAACAGCATAAGTCAAACAGACAAATCACCGACAGGTTATTCTCTACGGCACAGAATCATAGAATCGTAGAATGCTTTGGGTTGGAAGGG